GAAAGCAGAGAATAACAGAAAGATGTTTACTTGTGCTTTATTGACTATGTCAAAACATTAGGCTGTGTGCTTCATAACTATGGATAACCATGAGAAGAATGGGAATTCCAGAACACTATTGTACTCATATAGAACTTATAAATGGTTCAAGAAGCAGTTGTGTAAATAGAACAAGAGTATACACAGTTTAAAATAAGAGAAGGTGTGTGTCAGGGTTTTGTTCTCTCACCATACTTACTCAATCTGTGTACTTAGCAAGTAATTAGAGAAACTGGTTTATATGAAGAAGAATGAGGCATCAGGATTAGAGACTCATTAAGCAATATGCAGATGATGGAAACTTGCTTGCTCAAAGTGAGGATTTGAAGCATTTGCTGATGAAAATTAAGGTTACAGTATTCATTGTGGATTAAAACTCAATATAAAAAAAGGCCAGAGTCCTCACAACTGGACCAATTGGTAAGATCATGTTAAAAGGAGAAAAGGTTGAAGTTGTCAAGTATTTTATTTGGTTTGGATCCACACTCAATGCTCATGGAGCAGTAGTGAAGAGACCAAAAACCAAATTGTATTAGGCAAAGTTGCTGCCCAAGACCTCTTAAGACAGTTCAAAAGCGGTGTCTTATGCACATGACTGTCCACGAATCTGTTTCTCTAGTCAGCCCTGACTAACACATATGATACCTTGGGAGCGGGGTACTAGAGAAACAAATCGTGGAGCTGGAGAGTGGATGCTTGTTGGACCTCTGCCGCATGGTCGTTTTTCTTCTCTGGCTAGCCAGAGGTCAGATATGACCTTACAGTTTACTGGATGGTTTTCTGGAGAAAATGTGGGGATTTAAATTGTCTGGAAATTGTTTGGGGGTTAATCCTATCTGAAATTATGAACATGAGTGTGATAAATGTGCATCTTGAGCTCAGGTGGCAAAAGCACTACTTGAACTTCTCAGAGACCATGCTACTTAGTGAAAATTACTTACAGAGGATAAAAATGGTTGACAGAATACCTAGCCCTGGCTTGATTCAGTCAGAAGCCTAAAGCCATGCGTCATATCAATGGAATAGTTTGGGTAAGGATTGCACTTGACTGCTTGTAAGAATTGAGTTTAGGATCTGATCCTACTTTGTTTCTATTGATTTCTCCTGTTTATTGTTATTGATATAATGATTAATAGAAATGATTATTGGGACGTATGAAATAGAAAGTTTGTAAACCCACTTGTCTAAAGTCATTAAAATTGGATCAAATGGACACCCCTACTAAGAAGAATATGAAAATATAAGCCCCACCCAGTGTCTTGAGTGCTCAGGATATGCGAAGGTGAAGAGACTTGCCTAGGGGGCTGTTGAGAGATTGGAGGGGTTAAAAAATGAAACTCTTAGGCTTTTTGAATTTTCAACTAGTGGTTTGTGCTTGAGGCTGGAAAAATCTGGAACCATGAAGAAGAAACTTTCCTCTCTAGGACTGAACGTTAAAAGGAGCCTGTGGGCAGGCTGAAATGCTTGCTAGGTGATCACTTGTTGAGTGGAGGTGGGAGAAATGCAGCAATAAAGAGATCGGTTGGGTCTGGCCACTGACACCCGTGGACTTGACTTACGGGAACTAGAGGAGAAAACAAGAGCGGATTGACTGGTCTGAAGTTCATGGCCTACCACAAGGGGGCTGGGGCTGTTGAGAATTTGTGAAGGGACCCATGGTCTAAAAGCAAGGCAGCCAATGGACACCCTGTTGAGGCTAAGTGAGGCGGCCCACATTGAGTTGACCAGAACCCGACCAGATGAAGAGAAGATTTTTGAGCCTGTGAACTGGTGCATATTGCTGCTGACTTTATGGATGGCCTGTCCTGATTTGACTTTGCTTATGGATGCAAAGTCACAAGGTTCCAACTGGAATGAAGATTCTTCACGTCAAAGAATATGATTTCTCCTGAGAGCACTGGGTTGATCTAAGTGGGGAGTATAGAAATTGGATGCCCAAAATGGGGACATAATAGTGTACAATTAAGTACTTATAGAACTTTGTTCATAAATACTTCCTATGAGATAAGTTCTGGAGTTCAATTGTTAAAAATTAAATTTGCCAATTTCCCCCCAGTCTATTTCTTTCCCAGTATTTTCTATTTCCAAGGACTACCATTATTCTTTTAATTTATTATCCTACAAAAATCCTGATCATTAATTATTTCTATAGTAACACGATTAAATATTGAACCATAATGAAGCTATATCAAAAGTCTTCTTTTTTCTTACTCTGCTTATCTTTTGTAATTGCCCTTCATCTCAGCTTGCTGCTATTTTGTTAATTCTGACTCATAATGACCTATAGCACAAGGTAGACCTGCCCCTGTGCATTTACAAGACTGTAACTCTTCATGGGAGTAGAAAGCCTCCTCATATTTCTCCCAAGGAGCAGCTTGTGGTTTTGAACTGCTGACCACGTGTGTAACCACAATGCCACTCTAGCAGACAATTTTATCTATTCCTCCTGACAACTTATTTCTTTCTGCCTGGGCACTTGGTTGCTCCCAAATGCAGCTCAGTGTGACTATGTGACAAAGTTGTGAAACAGAAGCAGAATGGAACCAGTGTGAAAATTTCAACTCACTTGTCTAAAAGATGATGCTATGGATGACTGAGGAGCTGATGCAAACTGAGGAGCTATCTATTGAACAGGCTGAAGCTTATCCACTGCCCTCAGTTCCTGAGATGACCTTCTAGAATAGGCCCCACTTACCCACCTTGGAATTAATTGATCACTATATTTCTTTGATAAAGCATTCACCCAAACTAACATACTAATTACTACCCAGGATCATTCGTTCGTTCCTCTTCCTTTTCAATCAGTCACCTTTCCCTTCTCTTTCCTGTCTCAGAAGTGCAGAGGCCTGGGCAGGCTACAGAAGAGGATCACAGCTTTCCTGCATGCTGCAATGAGTAGAAACAGGTCCAAATGTAGGCTTACAGTCTCTAGGGGAGAAACTGAAATAAAAATCAGGTGATGCTTCCAAATGTCTCATCAAAACAGGCTAGTCAGTGGAGAAAGACAGTATTAAAACAGAAATGGGGGAAGCTAAATGAGAGAATCTTTTTTTTTTTTTTAATATAGAGCATGTTAAGACAAAGCCTGGAGAGATTCCTTCAGCCAGGAGAAGAATCTGGGAGGAAACGACCTTAGGTCAACGTAAAGAAGACATTAGGTAGGCTCAAACATTGTTTTCTTTCTCCAAATCAATGCAACGGATTTGTTTCCATGTAAATAGTGACAAATAAGCCCAGATCCATCTTACTATATCTGCCTCGAACATGTCAATTATGCATTTCATACTTTAAGCCATTAAAGAACTAACATTTTTTAAAAAACCAGAAATCATGATACCAGGTAGAACTAAATCAATGAGAGAGAAAAGAAAATCCAGAACCACACTCAAAACCCATCACAGCTTTCATCTAAAAGCAAAGCCCTGGAAAGCACCAGGGTAAGTCGTTCCTTCTCCATAAAGGTTTTAAGAATATTGTTTATCTGGAAAATGAGATTAATAATAATTGTAGGTTAGTTCATTTCCTTATGCTGTATGCAAGCTAAATGGTAAATTAATTGAATAATTTATTCCATCTGTTAATTCTTTCAGCCACTATTATTAAGTATCTAGCATGTGATAAGCTCTGAGGTTTTAATGGTATACAACATCCACCCTCTCATCTTAAAGACCTCAGGATCTCGGTGGGAAGGAAGACAATGAGAAAACAAGGCACAAATTGATGTTAGAGAAATGCTTCCATGCTGAGCCGCCCTCATTGAGAAGGTGACATTGTTCTGGAAAGCTGACGCATAGACAAGAGAGTAAGGAATGCTTTCTAGCAAAGGAGACGGTATGTTAACACTGAAGACAAAAGAAAACAACTTACTTTCTGAAAAATACAGATGTTCAGAAAAACATCTCTTCACATATTTCTTTAGTTTCAAGTTCTTAGACTAAAAAATAAATTCAGTTACAGAAAGGCAGGTACAATTTCAAGATGTTTTCAATATGCCCATATGTTCATGGGGAGAAAAAACGTGACACTGAAAACTTACGCAAGGTAACGAATGTACAAATGTGCTTTATGCAATTGATGTATGTATGGATTGTGATAAGAGTTGTATGAGCCCCCAATAAAATGATTTTTTTTAAAAAAGAAAACTATGCGAGAATAAAATTGTGCAAATAGCTCTTTGCCGCATCTACTGCAAGAATGAAGACCATTCTCAGCCACCAGACTGTCGTCGACATTCCAGAGAAGGTGGACATTTCCCTGAAGGTCATCGTGCAGGGCCCCAGAGGAACCCTGCGGAGGCACTTCAGTCACATCAACGTAGAACTCAGCCTCCTGGGGAAGAAGCAGAGTTGACAAATGGTGGGGAAATAGAAATGAACTGGCTACCGTCCGCACTATCTGTAGTCATGTACAGAACATGATCAAGGGTGTGACGCTGGGCTTCCGATACAAGATGAGGTCTGTGTATGCCCACTTCCCATCAACGTGGTTCTTCAGGAGACTGGGTCTCTTGTTGACATCCGTAACTTCTTGAGTGAAAAATACATCCGGAGGGTTCGCATGAGGACAGGTGTCGCTTGTTCCATTTCTCAAGCCCAGAAAGATTCTTGAAGGAAATGACATTGAGCTTGTATCAAATTCAGCTGCTTTAATTCAGCAAGCCACAACAGTTAAAAACAAGGATATCCGAGAGTTTTTGGATGGCATCTATGTTTCTGAAAAAGGAACAGTTCAGCAGGCTGATGAGTAAGCTCTAAGAGGTGTCCAACTACTGTCTAGATGGTTCCTTTAGACTTGTCTGTGATGCTTTGATCTAATCCAATAAGGTTTATGTAATAAAAAAAATTAAATTGTACAAATAACCAACAAGAATAGGCAATAGCATTTAAAGTTATTATTATGGTGAAGGTTTATAGTAACACTTGTGGTTATCTTTCAGAATCATCAGTTTTCTTGGAAGAAAAATGTTAAGGAAAAGCAAAATAGTAATTTTTAAGTACATTCTTAATCTCATTAACGGAGCTTTCTTGGTAAGAATCCTCATAATTATTAACTAAGAGAAGGAATGCATTTTTACAGATAAACACTAACAAATAAATATTGCCTATATCTCTTATAGATTCTTGGACTTTTACTCATGGGATTTGGTACATGGCTTTTATTATATAGAAACAATTTTTTGACTATTTTGGGTATGTATCTAGTTTTCTTTTGCTTTCTCAGAAACAAAACAGGCATATACTTTAAAATAGCTGTGTATTGGATTTAATCAGCAGGTGGCAGTATTATACTAGAATTCAGTAACTATAGACCAGGTTTCCCTCTGTAGGTATTTTTCAACTAATTTTGGAAGGAAAGAGGTAGGAAACTTGCTGGGCAAGAATGATGAGGGAAGGGGACAGATCAAGATTTTTTGTAATAACCTTGAGCTTTTATAAATTTGTAGACTTAAAAGGTAGTGAAAAGAAAGATCTGTAATTCCCACCTCCCTTCTAAACCAAACCAACCCATTGGCCTTAAGTCAATTCTGACTCAGTACAGGACAGAGTAGAGCTACCTGTAGACTTTTTAAAGGATATCATCTTTAAGGAGGCAGGTTGGCACATCTTTCTCATGTGAAGCAGCCGGTGGGTTTGAGACACTGACCTTTGGTTAGCAGCTGAATATCAAACCCTGACAGTACCAGGACTCCATTTCCATAATTCTCAACCCTCCTCTCAAATTCAATATCTTTTGAAACTGACCATATGCTCTCACCAACACAGGATTATAAACTAAGTGTAATACATTAAAAAAATTTAAGTTGATTCAGATTTACAGCAACCATATAAGACAAAGTAGAACTGCCCCGTAGAATTTCCAAGGCCATACATTTGTGTGGAACTAGACTGCCACATCTTTCTCCTGTGGAGTGGCTGGTGCATTTGAACCACCAACCGTTCGGGTACCGTCCCTGTGCTTTTAACTCCTATGCGAGCAGGACTCCATAAATAAAGTGTAATTTTCCTTAAATATGAAAGTGCAGATAAATTAATTAATTATTTTAATTTTATGAAGAAGTGTATGTTTCCTTTATTTTTGACATTTTGTGGTATATTATGGTGGCTGTGACTTTCGTATAGGACCACTAAGTTGAGGATTATTTCCATATAGACAGCTTTTATTGTTGGGAAATAGATACACCCCTGTTTTTATCAAAGGCATTGAAATCAGAGATGATATGACAGTAGTCAACAAATACAGTCCGTGGGCCAAATATAGCTACTATTTTACTTACATATTGCTTAGGACTGCTTTTGCACTGTAGCAGCAGTGTCGCCTAGTTGCAACAGAGAGTACGGTATATGGCTCACAAAGCCTAAAATACTTACTTGCCCTGTGCAGAAAAAGTTTGTCAACCGCTGTTCTAAAGTGAGTATATTCTATTGTTTAGTACAAAGGAACAAGAGTAACTTAGTAGAGAATTTTCCAGTGGTTTCTGAAATTCCTTGAAAGACCTACTGGCCTTTTGTTCCTTATGATTTTTTTGTCTGACATAAAACTTTGAAAGATAGCAATGGTATATTTTGTGGAATGAATTGTTTCCCTCTACAAAATATATTTTGAAATCCTACCCCAATCTCTATACTTAGAAATGTGAGCATAACTTGAAGAAGACGTTTCCCTTGGTGTTGTTAATAAGACTTTACCGCAGTAAAGTGGGTCCTAAACCTAATCACACCAGAGGCATAAAAAGATCAGAATAGACACAGACAAACACAAGAGGCAGGGAGACAAATGTATCACCAAATCGGGGGTACTTAATTGTTAGAAACTGAAATAGAAAGGAAGCAACTCCTCTGAAGGACATAAACTCAATTAGAATGTCTAGTTTCTTGAACCATGAAAAGGAGCCCCGGACTTCAAGGTCATTAGTTTGAACCCACCAACTGCTATAAAAAATAAAGCTGTTCATGTGTGAAATGGAACCCCAATAGAAGTATTTTTGGTTCATCCTCATATTGTGCAAAGAGGATCGCTATTAGTAATAAGCTCAGGATATATACAAAGGACAACTAACTTACATATTTGGTACCTAAGGATTTGGTGGATGAATGCATCCACAGAAGAGGTCACCCTATGGGGGGAAGGGTATTTTAACATAGATGACAATGAAAGTAAGATTCAGGTAAAGGTCTAAGATTCTCTATCACATCAGAAAAGTTAGAAAGGCTGTTACTGAAAGTAAGAAGGACTAGAATGGGGTAAAAATAAAAGATAAAGAGAGTATCATAGTGCTTTGGTAATAGCTGTTTGGGGAAACCTCGGTTGCTGTAATTTATTATTAAATATAAAACAAAATATAACTTCATAAGTCATTTTGTGTCCTCATAGATGACAAGACTCACTTGATATCATGCATTGCCCAAATACTGATTGGAACGGGATCCGCTACTGTTCTTCTTTGTCTGTTGGGTTTTTTGGGAATTCACAAAGAAATCAGATGGCTCCTAATTCTCGTACGTATTTCATGGCTGACTTAGACTTTAAAAGGCTTGCGGTCCACACAAATGAGTTGAGTTATTTATGTCACCATGATAATTCAGCATAATATGCCTTTGTGACTCAAGCGAATAACCCTTCCACAATTCTTTTTTAGGTAGGTATTTTCTTAGTAAGTTTTCAGTGCACCAAATCTGGTCCTCGGTATTGCAGACTTAGGTATTTAATTTTTCACACAGAGTTGGGAAGTGTCATCGCCTATGGTGAACTACAATTAATCAATCTCAGAGTCTGAAGATCAAAATCAGAATAGAGTGTATTAATGTCAATGAGCAATATAACTTACCAAAGAAAAAGAAATATGTCTTGTAGTTAGCACATTTTCTCCCTGAGGATATGCCATGTGGGAAGCTAAATTATAACTGAGATCACAATTTGTCATTTAATAGAGAACAATAGCTGCTGAGACAGCAAGATTCAGACATTTGGCTAGCAATCTCCCTTAGGCATGCCACATGAAAAGATAAATTCTAACAGGAATATAGATCTGAATGAGAAATTTACAGCATATGTGGCAACTATACAACTCACAAAATAAAATGCAATATAGCTTTAAATTTTTTACTTTTTTTTAATTCAAATTAATTTTAATTAATAGCCCCTCTCTTACAGGTAGATAGCAAATTCAAGCAGTCATTTTGTTCTTGACCTCTTTCAGGAAGATGCAGGGTACTTGACTCTTTGTAGTACTTAATCAGGTCTTGTCACGCCTTTGGCCCTTTCTTACCACCAACACACTCACCTTCCCAGACCACATGGTTTCTTCAGGTTTTCTCATTCTGTTGTTTGAATGACCTAACATGATATAGTCAGAGATGCTATTCACTCAGTAGATACCTACGTGTGGCATATCAGAAACCTCTGCAAAGCGTTAGTAAATGGACATTGTCATCTCTTCCCAAAATATTTTTCCTCCAAGACACAGAGACCTCTCCAATGATTTAGCAACTAAAGGAGTCATTCAGGTATGCCCTAGAGATTATATGTTGGCTGTAGTTAGTCATTCTTACCTATTGTCACATGCCCGGTGACTCTGATGACCCATCTCCCAACCAATGTCTTGGAGACTTTTTAGTCTAAAAATATACTGTGTTCTTATTTCCCTGAAAATATTTCCCACTCTTCTCACATCTTGTCTTCTTTTTCAAGGACATTTTATCAATAGGCTTAAAGTTTTGGAAATGAAAAATCACTATGGAAATGGCTGGTGGAAAGATCTTTATTTTCCCCTCATCACAAACTTTACTTTAGGCATGGAAGGCAGAGGCTTTTCTAAGCATAAAGCTGGGAATTGGGGAGGAGAAATAAAGGAGAAAACTATAGGGAGAATGAAAAAATATATACACTGCTCTAAAGTGTTTCTTTCATGGGTTCCAATGATTAATGGTTTGCCCTGACTAAGGAATATGGACTATAGGTGGTACTGTGACATGAAATGTCAAGTACTAGAGCCACATAATACGTCTTGAATTCTAGACACTCCATGCGAAAACACTGTCAAGCTTTATCCTTATACTATCTTTCCCTAAATGCCTTTGAACTTACCTATACTTTTCTGATGAACTCATTTTACTGTTAACAATATTTAACTCGTATGTATACTTGGCACGTGGAAACCTTCTGAATAGCATCGAATACTGTTTCACATGGTGTGGGAAGCTGAAACCTGTAGGTTGGAGTCACTCAAAATATGCCTGCAAAAGAGGGGAATCCTCAAAATAGAGTTAGTTTTAATGACATGGATGGAATAAAGCTTTCAGGACCTTCATTTGATAAGGTCACTATTCCAAATGAGAAGAAGCAATATCAGGTATCCATTAATAAGTAGAATATGGAATGTACAAAGTACAAATCTAGGATAACTGACCCCTAATAAAAATGAAATGGAACGCATGAAGATGGATATCTAAGCATTTGTGAATTCTAAGGGACTGGTATTTGCCAGAATGGACCAAACAATCATATGATCTACACTCCTGGAAGTGACAAATTTAAGAAAAATGTTACTTTAAAAAAGAATGTTTCAAGACCTATCCTGTCGTATAATGCTATCAGTAGTAGGAAAAGTGGTCTGCCTACAAGGAAGACCAGTTAATAAGTCAAAATTGTGCACCAACTACTAATGCCAAGTAAGAAGAGATTGAAATTTTATACCATTCTGCAGCCTGAAATTTGTCAAGTATGCAATAAAATGTATTGCATACATTTTAATGCAATTGCATTTAATTGCATACATCCTAATTGCAATTGAGATGAGAGAGTTAGAAACAAAGAGGATCAGTAATTGGGAAAAATGGCCTTAGGATAGAAATTCTACCTAAGAGATTGAATGATAGAATTTTACAAAATAATTTACCTAATTGTTAATACCTTTATATAATAGCATAATCCTTAACTATACACCAGGTTATTGCCAGATGCAAGACACAGGAATTAAATAGAGTGTATTTGTAGTACAAGTCAGAGGTGATGGAGAAGCTCAATATCATCAGTCAGAACAAGACCAAGACCTAGCTACACAAGAGACTATCAGTTGTACATTTGCAAATTTGAGTTGAAGTGGAAGAAAATTCAAACAAGGCTTCTAGAGCCAAAATATAACCTTGAGAATATATAACCTGAAGTTAGAGACCATCTTAAACATAGATTTTATAAATTGATCACTATTCACTTGTAGGATCACATCAAGGACATTATATAGAAAGAAAGAAGGAACATTATATAGAAAGAAAGAAAAGATAAAAATGGATGTCAGAGGAGATTCTAAAATTTTCTTTTAAACATAGACAGGCTAATGTAAACTAAAGAAATGATTAAGTAATAGAGTTAAACAGAAATTCTCAAAACATAGCTTGAGAAGACAAGGTATTGCAATGATATATGCAAAGACCTATAGGTAGAAAACCAACAGGGAAAAAAGCATGCTGAAAATTCTCAAGCTAAAAAGAACTGAAAATAAAATGAAAATTTAGAGTTTTAGTATTGAAGAATCCTGTAGGAAAAATATCAAAGGATTAATCAAAATAAATTGAAGGAAAACAGAGAGTACCAAAAAGAGTAGGTTACTGCTCAACCATTTTAGGAGAAAGCATATGATCAAAAACCGATGGTATTGATGAATAAAGTCCAAGATGCCCTGAAGGAATTAATGAAAAACATAGAATGCAAAAAGTTAACTAATAACATCATTAAAATCATATGTATGAAAAATTTTGCTGAAGATCATTTTTAACTTTCGTCACACTGGTAAATTGCCAAGGAAATGGCTGGAATTCAAGCTGAATTAGGAAGAGGACGTGGAACAAGAGATCATTTCAAGTGTATATGGTATATTGACTGAAAGGAGAGAAAAACAAAGATATTTGCATATTTATTTGTGTTTTACTGGTTCTGAAAAGTTATAAGAATTCAATCTGTATGCTAATCAAATAATCCAATAAACTAGACTGTATGATGAAGAGCATTTATCTGGATTAGAGGAAGGCTGGTTATCACACAACAATAGCAGATGACACAGCCTTGCGTGCTTACGGTGAAGACTTGACGCATGCTCGCTTTCAGGTGAAGCCTTGTAGCACTCACTGATGGATACCCAGGAGGACAACCTTCAGGATGCAAGGATTGTACCTTGACATTAGTATTGTTAGTTTTAGGTGCCATGCAATCTGTTTTTTGACTCGTACTCTTTCTGACTGTAAAACACAGCGAATTCTTGCGTTGTCATCACAAGCATTACTATATTTGAAAGCATTGTTGGAGTCACTGTGTCGACTCATCTTGTTGAGTGTTTTCCTCTCTTCTGTTGACCCTCGACATTACCAAGCATGATGTCCTTCTCAGGAGAATGGTCCCCCCCATAACATGGTCAAAGTAAGTGAGAGGAAATCTCACCATCCTTGCTTCTAGAGGGCATTCTGGTTGTACACATTCCAAGATGGATTTGTACATCTTAGCAGTGTGTGGTGTAGCCAAGATGCTTCTTCAACATAAAGAAAACAAAATCCTCACATCTGGGCTAATACAAAACAGCATGATAAATTGAAAAAAAAATGTTTAATTTGTCAAGAATTTCATTTTACTTGGATCCACAATCAACATTTATGGGAGCATCAGTCCAGAAACCAAAGGATAGATTGCATTGAGAAAATCTGCCAAAGACCTGACAAGTGTGAAAAAGCAAAGATTCGCTGAGGACTAAATTGCGCCCCAGCTTAAGTCATGATATTTTCAGGAGGCTTATATCTACTTAAAAGCTGAATAATTAATAGGGATGGCCCAAACTCTTGATTTCATTACTCTTGATGTAGGTGAAGAATATTAAATATACCATGGAGAGCCAGACAAAAGTATTTTGGAAGATTTTCAACCAGAAGACTTTTTAGAAGCAAGGATGTTAAGACTTCATCTCATATGATTGGGGCATCGGTACCTGGGGCAGGGCGGCAAGTGGACAATGCAAAGGGACAAGAGAAAAGGAAAAGATCTTTGGAGAGTTTAGGGTTTGTGTCCACATGTTTGGGTTATGAATCTCACTGGCTTGTTGTTGTTGTTGTTGTTAGGTGCCATGGGGTCAATTCCAACCCATAATGACCTTGGGCACAACAGAAGAAAACATGACCTGCACCATCCTCACAATCAATTTTCCCTATATTTGGGCTTATTGTTGCAAGCACCGTGTCAACCCATATTTTGAGGGCCTTTCTCTCTTTCTCTGGCTTTACCAAACTTGATGTTCTTCTCTAGGGATTGGTCTCTATCGGTCTCTCCTGACAACATGCCAAAGTATGCAAGACAAAGTCTCACCATCTTTGCCTTTAAGGAACACTCTGACCTTACTTCTTACAAGATACATTTGCTTGTTCTTTTGGGAATCCAAGGTATCTCAATATTCTTCTCCAGCATCACAATTCCATTGCATGTATTTGTCTTCTGTATTATAGTTAATGTCCAGCTTTCACATACACATGAGCAATTGAAAGTACCATGGCTTGGGTGAGGTACACCTTAGTCCTTAAATATGCTTACTTTGCAATACTAGAGATATCATGCAGCAGATTTACTGAATGTAACACATTTTTTATCTATTGACTGCTGATTCCATCAGCATTGATTGTGGACCTAACAAAGACAAAATCCTTGACAAAATCAACCTTTTACCCATTTATCATGATGGTACCTATTAGTTCAGTTGTGAGGATTTGGGTCATACTAATATTGAGTAGTAATCCATATTGAAGACTGTGATCCTTGATCTTCATCAGCAAGTGCCCCAATTCACTTTCAGAAAGCAAGGTTGTGTCATCTGCACATCTCAGGTTGTGAATAATCCTTCTTCCAATCCTAATGCTTCATTCTTCTCCATATAAACCTGCTTCTCTGATGATTTGCTCAGCATATAAACTGAATAGGTATGGTGGAACAATACAACCCTGATGCACACCTTTTCTAATTTTAAACTATACAGAATTATCTTGGTCCATTCGTACAACTGCCTCTTGATCCAGGACAAATTCCTCAAAAGTACAATGAACTGTTCCAGAATTCCCATTGGCCTCAAGGCTCTCCATAGTTTGTTATGATCCACAGAGTCAAATGTCTTGGCAGAGCCAATGAAACACATACATCTTTCTTGTATTTTCTACTGTCAGCCAAGATCCATCCGGGCATCAGCAATGATATCCTTTGCTCCAAGTCCTCTTCTGAATCTGGCTTGATCCTTTGAAAACTCTCTGACATTGTATCGCTGCAGCCATTGTTGGATGATCTTCAGCAACATGTTACTTGCATGTGATATCAATTATATTGTTCTATAATTTGAGCATTCTGTTGGGTCACTTTTAATTGGAATGGGTACAAATATGAATCTCTTCCATTCATTTGGTCAAGTACCTATCTCCCAAACTTCCTGGCTTAGATGAGTAAGTGCTTCTAATGCTTCATCAGCTTGTCGAAACATTTGAATCGGTATTCCATCAATGCCTAGAGCCTTGTTTTTGGCTAATACTTTCAGTACAGCATGAATTCTTGCTCATATACTACCTCCTGGAATGGTTGAATGTTGATCGGTTCTTTGGGGTGCACTGTCTCTGTGTATGCGCTCCATCTTCTTTTGATGTTTCATGGATCATTCAATACTTTATCCCTAGAATCTTTCAGTATTGCCATTGAAGCTTGAATATTTTATTTTATTTTTTTAAAACAATCTTTTTATTAGGGGTTCATACAACTCATCACAATCCATACATACATCATTTGTGTCCATCACATTAGTACATATGTTGACTTCATTATTCTCACAACACCTGCTTTCCACTTGAGCCCTTGGTGTCAGCTCCTCATTTTTTCCTCTCCCACCCCCACCCCCCTCCCCCTGAACCCTTGATAATTTATAAGTTATTATTATTTTATCGTATCTTACCCCATCCAATCCACATGTTACTTGCATATTTTATTGAGTACTTTCAGTTTAAGTTATACTGTGTGAGCATGTGTCCCCCTTTTGGTTTTCTAACTCTAGTTCTTTTCACATTTCATTATAATATTTCACTTTGTCTTCTCAAACTGCCTTTGAAATTCTCAGTTCATCTTCTTGACAACCTATTTCTATAAAGTTTACAACCTGGGAAATCCTAAGGGCCAGAGGGTTGTTCTCACAGATCAGAAACCAGGCAGGGTCACTAGATAACATCTATCTCCACTCTAAAGATACTTAGAAATAGTTCTTGGGCTTTCACAATTTTCCTACTTCTTTACAAAGGAAGATTGAATGAGGTATTATATATTGAATTTTCATAAACCTAAACTTCAAAGAAGATATATTTCATGACTATTTTTAAATATCTGAAAAATATAAGTAAGCAAATATTAATTGCCTATTTTTAAGTAGTAAAATTTAAATATTAATAGCAGGAAATCATTTTTACTTACTATTTCCACTTACAGTGGAAATACAGTGGAAATAGTAGATTGATATTTACTAAAACTTTAACTGGTTAATACTTTAAATGATGACTTTCAAAATTAAAAAAAAACTATTGCTGTCAGCTTAATTTTGACGCATATCAATCCTCTAGGACACAGCAGAACTATGTGTGTCATAGGGGTTCCCAAGGCTGCAATCTTTATGGAGACACACTGCCACATCTTTCTCCTGCGCATGTCTGGTGAATTTGACGTGCTAACCTTTTGATTAGCAGAAGACTGTGTAACCTTGTTGAGCCACCACGATTTAAAAAAATTATTGTTAGTTATAAATACGGTAATATTTATAAGTGCTATTGTGTTGATACCATGAAAGTGGTCATAGAATTACAAAATAAAATAAATAGAAAAATTATTCTATCTGAATTTGCATAAAAACATTCTCAACTTTCAAAGAGTAGTCCATGTACATTACGTTTACTATGACAATATGGTGGTGGTTTTGGTTATTCCTTCTGTCTTCAATACTATGGGACACTTATGCAAAGTAGGTTACAGATGTAGTGATTCTTTTCAAGTGTTCACAGGATGGTGTGTTAAGTGGATATCCAGATAGCTGAGTTATCTCAATGACAGTTTTCAGATCTGACATGAGAATGAATCACCAACAGTTCCATTAAACCAAATTGCAGATTAGGGTTTTCATAAAAAACTATTACTTATGTCTGCCTTACCCTTAGTGAATCGCTCTTAGATTAGATGAAGTAGGGTATGCCCTTCCATCCAGGAATTTCATGAAACCTCAGGAATATCAAAGTATATGTTCAAACTGTATATTTTATATTATGTTCATTTCCTTTTGCTGTGGTGCCTAAGGTAGAAAGTAGTATAGGTGTCATCTGCATTTTTTTTCATTTTAGTACGCAGCACTGATCATGTGCTCCATTGGTGTTCAGGTTGTGCTGGCAGTACTCACCTTCACACAGAGAAGCAAGGTATGGAAAGTAAATCATTTTCTATCCATTCTTTCATTTGAAATCTAAATAAAATTGAATACACTGATATTTTAGACCTTTGAACCTACAATGAAATATACATTCAGTGTAAATACTAAATTTATGTTTAGGGAAAAGGGGCCAAAGTGATGATGGACTGGAAGAATTTGTCTACAATGGTACTTGGATATAGATATGCTGTGTGGCACAAATGGCTAAGTATATAACTATAAATACGTGGTTACTAATCAAGGTTGGTAGTTTGAAACCACTCAGAGGCACCTTGGAAGGAAGATCTTTTTTGGGGGGATTCCAACTCACAGTCACTCTATAGGGCAGAGTAGAACTGCTTCTGTGGATTTCCAAGGCTGTAACTTTTATTACTATTATTAAAAGATCATTTTATCGGGGGCCCCCACAATTCCTCCAACAATCCACCATCCATTGTATCAGCATATTTGTACAGGTGCTGCCATCATTATTTTCTATACATTTACTTTCTATTTGAGCCCTTGGGATCAGTCCCTCTTTCCCCCCCCACCCCCAATGATCCCCTGCTAAATGATGAATTATTATTATTTTCCTATCTTAGCACCGACCGCTGTCTCCCTTCCCCCATGATTTCTGGTGTTCATCCCCCTGGGTGGCGGCAGTGGTGGTGGTTATGTGTCGATCATTTCAATTGGTTCCCCCTTCCTCCCCTAAGACTGTAACTCTCTATGGGAGTAGAAAGCTTCGTCTGTCTCCCAAGGGGCTGCAGGTCACCTCAAAATGCTGACCATGCAGTTATCAGTCCAACGTTTAGCCCACTCCCTCACTAGGGCCAGGTTAATTCTGACATTGACAGTAGCTATGGGTTTACAGCATGTATCACGCCTGCAGTCCTTATGGGAGAATTATATAACTATTAATGGGTAACAGCCTTAGTGGTGCTCAGCAAAGTTTTAGTAAGACAAAATATGCTCCAAGAACTATGCTAGGTGTTGAGGAATCATGGATCAATAAGATATGGCCCCTGCTTTCTAGCAGCACTCTGGCCATGTGTCTGAACAGAGGAGATCTGACCCCCAAAGTAACCCGGCATCTCCAATTCCAGTCATGGACACCTTCCAGGCGTTTGCAAATGGGATTCCTTCAGCCAAGATAAAATGTTTACATTCCACCTTCTCTACATTGTCTTCCATATGTATCCGGAGGAAGGAAGGGATGATGGAAGAAGATAAGGAAGAGGAGCATGTGGACAGCAAGATGCACGCGTCCTCTGTCACATGGGTTGTCCCTTGCACGTTGTCACCCTGCTGGAAGCTTTGCCTGCAGCATTTTAAATACCAGCAGAGTTTCCCAGGGTGAGCGGGTTTCAGCGGTTCTTCCAGAGTAAGACAGACTCAGAAGAAAGACCTAGCGATCTACTTCAGAAAATCAGTTAAGGAAAGAGGGGCTGATACCCAGGGCTCACGTAGAAAGAAATGGTTTTGGAAATGTTGATGGCAACATATGTACACGTGTGCTTAACACAATTGCGTGATGGATTGTTGTAAGATTTGCAAAAGCCCCCAACAAAATGACCCTTTAAAAATCAGTTAGGGAAAACCCTATGGCTCCTAACAGAATAGCTTCTGATGTAATCCAGGAAGCTGAGCACCCTGGGTTGGAGGCACCCGCGACACAGAGTGGCCACAGCAACCTTGATGGTGAAGACAGCGCAGGTCTGGATATTTTGTTTGACAATGGCTCCCCCGGCCCTCCCAGATTCTACTCCATGGCAACCAACAACGAAAATATCAAATGACCAGCGGGTAGTGAAGGAGTCCTGGCAACCTAGCAATTGCTCATTGGGCAGCTAACCGCAAGGTCAGCAGCTAGTTCGAAACCACCAGCTGCTCCTTGGGAGAAAAAAGGGCCTCTCTACTCCTGGAAAGAGTTAGTCTTGGAAACTCACAGGGGCAGTTCTAGCCTGTCCTATAGGCTCGCTGTGCATCAGCGTGGACTCGGTGGCAGGGAGAGGGAACATGCATGGAGCACTGGAGTTGGAGAAATAAATGCATTGCCAGCGTGAAGAAACAAGCCGAGAAACAGGATGAAACAGCGTGAAGAAACAGGATCTAGAACAGCGCTGCTCAACCGTCCTCATGCCGTGACCCTTTCATACAGGTCCTCAGGTGGTGGTGACCCCCAACCATGAAATTATTTTCATAGCTACCTCATAACTGTTATTTTGCTACTGTTATGAATTGGGCGGCCCCTGTGAAAGCATTCTTTGACCCCAAAAGGGGTCACGACCCACAGGTTGAGGAAGGAAGATCTTGTGATTAACTTCCGATGGGTCATCTGATGACCATAAGGAATACTCAAACCCAAACCCATAACAATTGAGTCAATTCTGATGGACATGGACCCTCTAGAGTGTTCCAAGACTGTACATTTTCACAGGAGCAGACAGCCTCAGATTACTTCCATAGAGAAGATGTAATGAGCACAAGACTACTGTAAAATACCTGTAATAGCCATGATTCAGAATTCATTCAATTGCAAGTGTTTTTGTTTTTCAGTTTGTTGGCTTTGAGAGGGGCGGTATTTGGTAAAGATTGAGAAAGTGGCCAATACCAAAGAAGTGAAGAAGAAATGTTACTAAATGTGAGAACTACAAATACCCCGTCACCCAGGTTACCAGTGATTAATGCAATCACTGCTCATATTTTGTAAAGAAATTTATATGGTTCAAGAAATATAATCTACAAAAGTGAAGTATATATTTAGAAATTCTGTGTATATAACCACAACTTGTCTGTCAATTTGTATAAGTGGGGTGGTTTGTATGTTACTTTGATTCTGAAAGATATGTCACTGACATTTCAAATGCCAGCATGGTCTCCAAAAGTGAACAGGTTTCAGTGTAGTTTCCAGACTAACAACTGACGGTGAAGAAGAACCCAGCTTTGCACTTTAGAGAAAGGCATGAAAACCTGCTCCATAGCTTCAAAACACTGTCAGATATTGAAGGTCTAGTGAGTCGAGTCAGAACATTGTCAGAGACAGTGCTGGAGGATGGGCCGATCCAGTTGGAGGGCACTGGAAATGTGACTGAAGGTGACATGGAGGCCGGATTCAGAAGAGGTCTTGGGACAGGGAATATCATTGCTGCTGTCAGACTGATCTTGGCTGAAAGCAGAAAAGACCAAAGAGATGTTGATTTGTGTTTGATTGAGTATGTCAAGGCATTTGATTTATGTGGATCATAACAAGCTATCGATAGCCTTGAGAAGAATGGAAATTCAAGAACACTTCATTGTGCTTATCATGAGTTTGAACATGGACCAAGAGGGAGTTCTCAGAGCAGAACACGAGAACACTGTGTGCTTTAAAATCAGGGAAGGTGTGTATCAGGGTTCCATTCACTCGCCATATTTATTCACACAGTATTTGTAGCCAATAGTCAGAGAAGCTTGCTTATATGAAGAAGAAAGTGCCATCAGGATTGAAAACAGACATTAACAACATATAATATGCAGATGACACACACTTGCTTGCTGAGACTGAGAAGGACTTGAAGCACATGAGGATAAAGATCAAGGATTGCAGCCTTCAGTGTGGATTGCAATTCCATGTAAAGAAGACCAAACTCCTTACAACTTAACCAACAGGGAGCATCATAATAAACGAATAAAACATTGAAGTTGTCTCAACCCAGTGCTCCAAAATATGAATGCAACATGCTGGCATGAAACAGGGAACCAGTGGAGAGGTCTGAGGGGCCAGCC